TTACCTAACGATTTATGGTATGCCTCTTACAGACCTGACTGTGGTAGAATTTCAGACACTGTGGCAGACTCTGAAACTAATCTTAGGGCAAAAAGCTGGCCTGCAGGCTCCCAAATCACACTACAATAGGCAGCCAGCTACCTATAAAGCTGGATCTTCTAAAGCTGTGGTCCCCAACGCTCTGGCCGCAGACCAGTACCAGTCATGGCCTATTAGGAACTGGGCCGCACAGCAGGAGGTGAGTGGTGGGCAAGCAGGGAAGCTTCATCTGTATTTACAGCTGCTCCCCATCGCTTGTATCACCACCGCCTGACTCCGCCTCCTGTCAGATCATCAGCAGCATTAGATTCTCATAGGAGCATGAACCCTACTGTAAACTGAACATGTGAGGGATCTAGGCTGTGGCTCCTCATGAGAATCTCATGCCTGAGGATATGAGGTGGAGCTGAGGCGGTGATGCTAGTGCTGGGGAGCAGCTACAAATACAGATTATCATTAACAGAGAGGTTTGACTGCACAGAGACCATAATAAATCAATTGCTTGCACAGTCATATCAAAACCCTGTCAGCGAGTGGCAAGTGACAATGTAACAATAATAGAAATAAAGTGCACAATAAGTGTAATAATGCACTTGAATCATCCTGAAACCATCCTCCCCCTCCTACCAGACCATGGAAAAATTGTCTTCCATGAAACCAGTCCCTGGTGCCAAAAACGTTGGGGACTGCTGCTCTAAAGGATCCACCTGAAATTTTCTGAGATTAAAAGAAAAAAAACACCCACAGATTTTATATTACTTTCTGTTTTTCTTTTTCTTGCCCAGACTAGAGTACAGTGGCATCATCGTAGCTCACTGCAACCTCAAACTCCTGAGCTCAAGCAATCCTCTTGCCTCAGCCTCCACAGTAGCTGGAACTACAGGTGTGTGCCACCACGCCTGGCTCTTTTATTCTATTTTTAGTAGAGCCTAGCTCAGGCTGGTCTCGAACTCCTGGCCTCAAGCAATGCTCCTGCCTTGGCCTCAGAAAATGCTAGGATTATAGAGATGAGCCACCGTGCCTAGCCTCACATTACTTTTATAATGAGAAGAGAATCAGAAAATATCATTTGCAACAGCTCAAAGAGTTCCCTCACTGCAAAATATAGGAAGTTTTTTTTTTTTTTTTTAAAAAGCACATGAGGCCAGGCGCGGTGGCTCACGCCTGTGATCCTAGCACTCTGGGAGGCCAAGGCGGGCGGATTGTTTGAGCTCAGGAGTTCGAAACCAGCCTGAGCAAGAGCGAGACCCCGTCTCTACTAAAAATAGAAATAAATTAATTGCACAACTAAAAATATATAGCTAAAAAATTAGCCGGGCATGGTGGTGCATGCCTGTAGTCCCAGCTACTCGGGAGGCTGAGGCAGGAGGATCGCTTGAGCCCAGGAGTTTGAGGTTGCTGTGAGCTAGGATGACGCCACGGCACTCTAGCCCGGGCAACACAGTGAGACTCTGTCTCAAAAAAAAAAAAAAAAAAAAAAAAAAAGCACATTAAACTTCACTTACGGAAAGAAAAGAACCTGCAACAAATAAAAGGCTAATAGTTGAGGCACAGTTCTAAAAGCATTCTATCCTTACCATCTAATTGAACCAAGTGGCCAAGTCCAGACGTGAACTTGGGGAAGCTGAGGTTAGGATCGTGCTCTTAATGATCACGCTCTCCAGCCTTGCACAAAATCTGGGGGACTGAAAACAGTGATAGTCTACTCCTACTTTTGCTACTTTTGCTGGTTCAAATATAGACACTCAGCATGTTAGGTGTCAGAATGAGAGGGGCAAATAAAAAATCCTATCATCACCCACTGATAACATGTTACCTGTATTACCTCAAGTAATCCTCACCACACCCCTGTGAGGTATTGCCATTAGTATCCATATTGCACAGTGAGGACCTGAGGCTCAGAGAGATCAAATGCCATGACCAAGGTCACACAGCTTTAGAAGTAACAGAGCTGGGACTCAATACTCTAGAGGTCTGAACACCTAAACTATACGAAGGTCTAGGAAAGGTGGGGAACCTGCTCATGAATTTATACCATAATTTCAAGTCTACTGAATCCACGTACTCTCAGGAAAAAGTATGGTGTGAAGAACATCAGCTTTAAAGTCATATAGACCTGGGTTTGAATTCTCCATTTATAAATTTTTATCTCACTGGACAAAATTACTGTACCTTTTTGAACCAAAGTATCTCAATTGAAATATGAAAATAACACCAAATTCAGAGTAGTTGTAAGGATCTAAAATAAATTAACATGAAAAGCAGCTAGTAGAGGCTAGTACATAACAGGTGCTCAGCAAATGCTGATTCCTTTGTACCTACCTTCCCTTTCTAAATCCTACAATTGTACACACTACATGAATCATGCATAGCTAAAATAAATAATAAAGTTCCATTCAGTCAAGCAACAGCTTGAGTATTTCCAAGAACAAAGAAATTTTTAACCTTTTCTTATTTTTTAAATTTTGTTTTTATTTGACACATAATAATTCTACTTATTTACATACATCTAAATAGGTACAGCATGATGTTTCAAAAGACAACTTTAGAACACCTGGGTCTTGCACCTGGGGAGACAGGTATATAAACTTATTAAGAAATCTCTAGTCTTAAAATAATTTCCAAGCTTATGCATTCTCCAATGTTATAAGAACTGTCAAAGTTTCACAGATACACCTTTTTATTTCAAAAGTAAACTCTATGAATTTGCCTAAAGACAAAGAGTTACTCATGAATCAAAGCTAGGATATAAAAGGACTATTCAAATTCAGAAATAAACTTCTGGGGAACTCATCAATATTTTGAAAGAATTGTGGTAAAATATTCTGATAACTCAGGCCCAGAAAAGACAGTGTTAAGATAGCGAGTTTGCTGGGACTAATACACAAGTTGAAATCTTTTGATATGTGTTTTCATCTTTACAGAATAGAGAAAAAGAAATTCTCTTTAAACCAGAATTATCCTCCATATACAGGAATATTGTCTTTGTTATTATTAATGTCTGTCTAGATTCATTCTCAAAAAAGAAAAAATCAGAAACCCAATGAAGCTAGTTCTAATATTACCGCTGCCACAAATTCCCCAATTCGTTTGACTGTTCCCAGAGTACAGAATTATTTCTCACTCTTATCTCACTTTCCTATACCATCTAGCCTGTTTACTCAAAGCACGTGTCCAGCAAATGTTTGTTAAATCGAAATTCAACATTAGTTTCAAACATACTCTTTCCGAGCTCTCCTACTTGCCCAAAGGTGTTTTAAAAAATCAGCACTGTGTGGCCAGGTGCGGTGGCTCACGCCTGTGATCCTAGCATTTCGGGAGGCCGAGGCGGGCGGATTGTTTGAGCTCAGGAGTTCGAAACCAGCCTGAGCAAGAGCGAGACCCCATCTCTACTAAAAATAGAAAGAAATTAATGGGACAACTAAAAATATATAGAAAAAATTAGCCGGGCATGGTGGCTCACGCCTGTAGTCCCAGCTACTCGGGAGGCTGAGGCAGAGCATTGCTTGAGCCAAGGAGTTTGAGGTTGCTGTGAGCTAGGCTGACGCCGTGGCACTCTACTTTGGGCAGTAGAGTGAGACTCTGTCTCAAAAAAAAAAAAAAAAATCAGCACTGTTTATCAATGAATTTGAAGGCAGAGAGAAAAGAATGCGGAATAATTCCCCCAAACGGTACAGAATACCTACAAAGGACACAACACAAACACTACCAGAATCCAAAGTAGGAAACATCTTGCTTTTCAGAAGCTACTACCAGACTGACCCTAAAGTTATTTTCTATCAACTCCAAGGAAAACAATAATGACCTGCAGTATGAAAGCACTTATGTCATTCATAGAAAGGCTTTCACCCTTAGTTTTCCAGGAAAGTTACCCCACTGTAAAATGCACATAATTTTAGTCCTGGTAGAGATCATGAAGGGTACACAATGAAGGGTGGCTGAATGAATGATAATGTCATACATGCTATTCATGGTTAGGTTCTATAGCAGAGGCACGTACAGAGTACCAGAGAACAAGGAGAGAATGGCGGTATGTGCTGAGACAAGCAAGGGAAGATGTCAGAATGAGGGGAGCATTCTTGGGGATTGAGTCCACCACACAGTAAAAGGGGCAGAAGGACATCTTGGGCAGCAGATGCAAAGGAAGGGGTGTCAACAGAGCATCCAGGGGGAAACTATTGGTGATTCTGTATGGCCAAAGAATATGGTGTAAGTGAGGAAATGGCAGAAGAATCTGGAAAAGTAGGCTAGTTCAGATTAGAAAAGGTCTTCAATACTATTAGTACAGGGACTTGATCCTCCAGGCAGTGAATGTAGATGCAGGCAGATCTGCTCTGTAGCTCAGGAACATGTCATGCCAACTAGAATTAAACCACAACTAACCAGAAGCCAAATAACACTCCGTCTTACTCTTTAAAGAAAAAAATAACATAATCTCTTATAAAGGAGTTGAGAAAATTCACATACACATACACAATTCCTGAGGATATCCTGGGTTCAGTAAAGACCAAAATTTTAGCACACCAACAACCATTATGTTCCAAAGCACATCTGTATTTAATGAAACCACGTTGTTAAAAGGCTAAGGGACTTATCCAAGATCTACGGTAGTTAATGATAGGGATAGGACAAGGTCTTAGTCCAAGGTACTTCCTAGTTCACCACAACTCTAAACAACTTTGTTGCTCCTTTCCTCATGCAAGGAAAGTCTCTGAAAGACAGAAGAGAGCCAAGGAGAATAGAGAGCAGAAGTCAGGGTGTTAGAGGATGAACAGCATGAGTACTAGAATCAGGCTTACACGCCGCGAACACTACATAAATTCTCACCATCATTCATGATCATCTCTCTCTGAAGAATCATAAAATCGTTGGTGGTTCACAGCAACCCCCACTGCAGCTTTTCATATGTGATTCGAAAGTAGGCAAAGACCAAGAGCTGTAAACATGTGGTGATGTTCTACCTTTGGGGGGAGGGCTCTTGGAGTCCTCCATAGACAGCTTCAGCTGCTGTATGAACTCGCCGCCATACACACTTCTTTCTTGCCAGATGTTCAGCAATCTTTCTAAAGGTTTTTTACAGCCTTCATCTGCCTCTCTGCCCAGAAAAGATGAAAAGATATATATAAGCTTAAGATTTTTTGTTTTTAATTAGGACAGATCTATTTTTCAAAAAAAAAAATCAACAACTCACTAAATGATTTACATATTTAAAAACAGAAAGAATAAGGTACATATTGTGATACTTGGATGCCCAAAACTTGGCCAAAAACTACAATCTTCCTGCATGGTTAGGGAAAAGGGAGGGATCATGTCCTACCTTTTTTCCCCTTTGAAAGATGGTGCGAATAGGGCAAAAAGCCAATGGCTGATTTTTATAGGGAATTATCAAAAATCGATCATATCAATGTGACAGCTGGCTTTTTAAGAAAACATTAATCGAAATGTACTGTCAGACATTCTGCTGGAAATTAAAGTGGGCCAAAACTCACAAGGATAGAAAAAAATGATTTAAAAACCCATAAATGTTTAAAATGGGAAATAAATCACTACGACTCATCAATGCTAACACACCAACACCTCTACATGTATAAATTCAATCATACACACATATATGCCAAGATTGATCTCAACTTCAGCCATTTTATAATTATTCTAATTCTGGGCTAAGTGTGTATTCCATGTTCATACACGCTGAACTGATAATCTTAGAACACACTGATGATGCAGTCCTTTGCAATTTGTATCTGAAAGAAGTTAGATAATTTTTTACCACCATACTAACTCTTGAAACAGATTATGAGATGACTATAACTAGCACTCAGTGTGAACCAGCTGCCTACCATAAAATATCAGACAGCAAGTAGAAGAGTGGGGAAAGACTTTCTGAAAGGAAAATGAATTCACTCCCCACTCACTGTGTTACTGTGAACTGCTCTGTCTTATGAGGCTGTTTGAATGGCAACAATCTTACACTGAATGACTTTAAACAAGAAAGGACACCTTGACATCTTGTATCTGTACTTAAGTCAAATATCTATAATAGGAACTTCAAGAAGAAACCACACCAAATTCAACTGAAATGGGAATTCTATATACCCCCACCTTGATAGCACTTTTGTAAGCACTGAAGGTAATGTGCACTTTCAGCCTAGCCTGTCAGATTGCATTACTTATGAATTATCAGTGGCAAATTTCACTGAATTGGGGCCAAAGGACTAAATCAGGGTACATACAAATTAATTCTTTTTTTGTTAAACTTTTTTATTTTTCAAGTCAGAGGTGAGGGTTAGGAAAAAAGGGAAAAACGTTTCTACTGCTAAGTTTATGAAGCTTAAAAATATGACCTAATTATTTGATATTTGTGATAAAACACTTTTACTATACTTTCAAAACATCCAGAAGTGAGTTACTTCTCCCCTCTTCATCTGCTATCAACCTGGTCCAAGCCAGCATCATCTGTTGCCTGGATTACTACCACAGCCACATCACTGGTCTCCCTGCTTCCCCCTTTGTCCTCCTATAATCTATTCTGGAGTTTTCAAAATATAATTCTAGCTGTTGTGTTAAGACAGATCATGTCACTCCTTTGTTCAAAACTGCCAAGGTTTCTTCCCACTCTCCCTCAGAATAAAAGTAAAGGTCCTTAGAAGCCTTCAACGCCTTTCTCAATCCAGCCCATTATTTCTCTGGTCTTATCTTCTACCTACTCTCTCAATCCTTCCCTGCTGCCACAATAGCTACCTGGCCCTGCCTCAGAACCTTAGCACTTAAAAGTTTGCTTTGCCTGAAACCCCATTTCCCCAGATGGCCCCATTCTCATTCCCTCTCCTCCTCCAGGTCTACGTGTAGTCACACATCACCTTTTCAGTGAGTCCTTCCCTGATCTCCACCATGGAAATTACATCCCCTGCCTCTACTTAATTGGTCTCCATACAATTTCTCTTCTGATATGGTTTTCTTGTTTATACTCTTTCCGTTTCAATGTAATTTCCATAAGGGCAGGGATTTATCTTCCCCCCCATTGCCATACCTCCTAACACAAGCATAATAAATATTTGTCAAATCATCTTTTTTGCCAGGTATAGTGGCTCACGCCTGTAATCCTAGCACTTTGGGAGCCTGAGGCGGGAGGATCGCTTGAGGTCAGGAGTTCAAGACCAGCCTGAGCAAGAGCGATAACCCATCTCTACAAAAAAATAGAAAAATTAGCCAGATGGGGTTGCGTGCCTGTAGACCCAGCTACTTAGGAGGTTGAGGTAGGAGGCTGCTTGAGCCAGGAGTCTGAGGGTACAGTGAGCTATTATGATGACAACACTGTACCCTAGCCCAGACAACAAAGTAAGACCCTGTCTCAAAAAAAAAAAGACAATCTTTTTTTTGAAAAAGTTTATATAGGCTTCAGTAGGCCCTATAGTTACCTAACTTTCAACAATCACCTTACTGCACCCAGGTCATTCATACCAGAAATCGATTAATCACTCATGAGCTCAACCAATGAAGGTTTATGGAATACTGTGCTTCGAATACAAAGAATATTAAGGCCTAGGTCCTGTCCTCTAGGGCTTGACTCAGTGGCTCCTCAGACTTCTTTAGCCTCATCTCCTTTCCATACCCTACCTGGAACCTCATATTTCAACAACACTCAACACATGTATTTTCTGTTCAGAAGTTGTTCCCTCCTGTGCATGTGCCTTTGCTCACGCTGTTACCTCTCCTTTGAACGGAACCACCAAAATGGAACAAGGCAAAGAGAAAGGAGAAGTTGTAAGTAATTCAGGTAGCCAAAGTACAGAATGTGTGGAAATAGCAGAAGAATCTGGAAGGACAGAGTGGTATTAGATTATAGAGGGCCCCAAATGCCATATTAAGCATGCGCCCCACAGGCAGTGAGAAGTCCCTGATGTGATCAAATGTATGGCTTAGAAAAATAAAGCCATTATAACTAATATAACCAAATTGCAACTAATCAGAACATAATTACTCGTACTTTTAACATAAAATCTGCTCTCTGCAGATTCTCTGCCTCACTTAAAAGAAAGATAAACCAATCATGAGAATAAATTCTTATCAAGGATTTAATTAAAGTCAGGGATGGGGGGCCCTACAACACCCACCTACTATCTGCCATTCTTGGGATATCTGGGACTCAAGACTAAGACTGGTTTTGAGTACAGTTTCAGTCACATTACTATACAGTGGAAACTAACACTCAAACCTGTTATAACCACAAAACATTTTCAAAAGGCTTTCACCATTAAAGGCTAAAGCCAAAAGGGGGCTCTAATTTAATTAGTGAATACAATTAACCAGGATAGGTTATTTCCTTGAGCTCTATAGTAAATTAAGGTTCTGCTAGATAAGCTTCCAAGTTATAAACGAAATATTCAAGAAATCTTTCTACTATAAGATTTTGAAGTAAGTAGCTCCAATGAACTGGAAGTCACTTCAGCACCTGGAATCAGATATAACTAAAGCAACAAAGCAGTTTTATAATAGAAGGAGCTACCTTTTCAGGTTGCACTAACTCCATTCGGAACTGAGAAATCTTTCCATAAAAAAGACTAAAAACTCTTTGCCACCTATTTATGAATAAAGTGGAAGATGATAAATAATTACATACACAATTTAATATTATGTTGAACACAGTATGTATTTTAATTCTAATCATAAATTCAATTACTGTCCACTTTTCAATACAGATGGCAAAATTGACCTTGAAAGTGAAAAATGTATATTATACACACACGCACAAATAGAATTGCTGCTTGAGGTACTGGCTGGATACCTGAGGCCTTGTCAAGCCAGCCTTGGGGGCCTCTTCTTCCTCTGTAGTCCTATGGCACTTTCTTGGTACAACCACAGTAATTTGTGTCTTTCTATCTCATCCCATGCACAGCAGGACTATGATAGGCCTACTAAGGGCAGGAATTCTTGTCACTTCCAACAGCAACTCATGTAAAGCTGGAGCAGAAACATTCCTTTGCAATTGTTCAGAAAACAGTTCACAGAAAGCTAGAGACTGCTACCCTTAGAAAGGCCTACTGACAAGGTTGGCCCTTAGCTGGTATCTGGGGACTTGGGATTTCAGAGTGTCCCCTCCATTTCCTAACGAGTAAGGGTGATTTACGGTGCCTAAACTGTTGTGTGAACAGTTCTTAATGAACACCTGCTTTCTTTCTGGAAGCCTGGAATTTTGGCAAAGGGTGCTTATGTGACCAAGGTGTGGACCCTGTGGCCTCAAGGTCATGTGTGATGCCCCAGATCCCAAAGCATGGCCCCTCAACCGAATCCAAACTTCACAGAACAAATCCCTTTACTAAAAGGATTTGTTCTGTAAAATTTGGAATCAGTCAAAAGGCCACAAGCATGGATCCAGAAAGCCACATGTGGCCCCAAGGCCGCAAGTTCCCAGGGGCGGCAGCAATGAGTTTCTAATGAGCTTTCCTAGTAGATTCACACATGTTGTCACAATTCATTGCTGGAAGAATTAAGTATGTCTGTGTGATTCCACTGGGAGAGGACTCTTGGAAGTTTATGCCCAGAGTCCTCCAGTCTTCGCCGCATGTACCCTTACCGTCTGCTGATTTTGTTTGGTATTCTTTGGATGCAATAAATCGCCACTGCATGACTACATGATGAGTCCTGTGAATCCTCCTACGGAGTCACCAAACCTGGGAGTATGCCTGGGGACCCACACACAACAATAGACAAATATCACCTGTATGGTGTTAACTCCCAAATGTATGTCTCCCGAAATTCTCTGCTGAGCTTCAGTCTATTTTATCCATCTACCCATCTGGCATCACCCCTGGAAGATCTCCTAGTCATCTCAAACTTAACCTGGCCAAAATAAAACTCTTGATTTCCTCCACCAAATCTTTTCTCCAATCTTCAGTTTAGTAAATGGCACCATCGGCCATCCACTTAACATCAAAAACCCAGAAATCATCTTTGATCTCTTTTCCCTTACTATTAATATCAACTCCCACTCAACTCTGATAAATTCTATCAGTTTTATGTGGGGGGGGGGAGGGAATCCATCCCAAAGTAAGCATTCAATAAATAGAAGCCATTATTATCTTCTCGCTGCTTCTAAGTCCTAGCTGATGTCACCTCTAGCCTGCTCTACAGGTGACACCCTCCAAACTCATGCCCCCAGCCCCCCTTGGCCTTTACACTCCCCACACCAAGCCATTTTTAAAGAGGGATCTTTAAAAAAAAATGCGTATCGTTTCCCTGCTTAAAACTCTTTATTGACATCCCGTCAGAATAAAATCCTAGCTCTCTCCCAAGGCTTGTAGGGTGTATGTGACTGGTGCCTGTCTACTTCTCTGATCTCATCTAGATGCCACTTTTCCTTTTGTTCACTATATTCTAACCATGCTGCCCTTCATTCTGTTTCTTTTAGCATACCAAGATTATTTCTACCTTAAGTTCTTCTTAATTGCTGTTCCAACTTTGCATAATTATCTCAAATGTCATTTCCCTAGAGAGGCCTTCCTTAACCACACTGCCTCGAAGAGATCCCACTCTAGAACTTCATTCCATTTTATTATATCCATATTATCACTCTCTGAAAGTTCATTTAATTGACCTTGCTCGCCTTGGTCACTGCTGTTCCTCTAGTGTCTAGACCAGTACTGGCCACATAGAAGACACTCAAATATATGTTGAATGAAAAATGACATGCACAATGGTCTCTAACCTGAGAAGAAAAGAAGGCACTTATGTGGAAAACAAGTTCACAATCTGGTTAATTAAACTTCTATTCAAATCAAATCTACCTGATGAACTTGCAGCTTTCTCTGACTTGAGAGTTTTTTTGTTTGTTTGGTTTTAAGTGGGAGGAGAGGATTACCATAAAGATAACCTAATCAATTTAGTCACTATTAATGAGTCAACTACGTTTATCAACTGACCACAGAAAAAGCATACAGAGAGCATATATTAATTAGGATATCCTTACTATTGATAAGGTACATCAGGATTGAAGTAGAGTTGTTAGGCCTTCTGTTCTAATAATGTGATAGGGGAAAGAAGCTTGGAAACATGGGTATCCTGAATATGATACCCAAGCAGGACCTTAAAAGAACTACAAGAATGCAAACAGAAAGGAATTAGGGCTATTTTTTTTTTATTGAGAAGGATGAGATTTATTTTCCCCACACTGTACCACTGAATCTGCCTCGTCGCTTTCATAGTGGCTTGCAGATAGGTTTTAAGATGGTTTGGAGGCAGCTAAAGATTATTGATCAATTTTTAAATAAAAGTGTTTTGTTTACTATCCCTACAAGAAATTATTCCAGCCAATTCCCTAGACCAAATCTTTTCCCCAATGAGTTAACGTTAATTAATTCATTCAACAAATATTTACTGAATCCCTACTCTGTGCCAGAGCAGACCACAATGTTGCCCAACCCTGAAACACCATTTACACTGAGGCTATATAAGTGGTATTCCCTAAAGCTACATAACCCAGCAGCTCTGTGACAGACACTCTGCTATGTGCCTGGAATATAGTAAAGAACAAAAAGAAATAGTCCTTCCCCTCATGAAGCTTACAATCTAGTATATTCCAATGAATGAATGAATGAATGAATGAGTTAAGAATTCATCGTACTATGTACTTTTAAACACAGTGTCTTACGTTAGCCTCTTATCAACTCTGAAGAGATAGGTGGTGTCCTCCCTTTTTAGCCAATTAGGAAACTTGTGCTCAAAAAGTTACATAATACATCCAAGGTCACTGAGTGTCTGAGGCAGAGCTACAGCCAATATCTAAGAAACTGTGAAATAAATCTCAAAACAAGAAATTCTCTAATTTCTACTACTCTAGTAGTCTGTTCTAAGCTTATTCTCTGAGAACATAGTATTTTTTTCAAGTTTATAATGCATCCTGCTACTTCGGTGTCCATGCTCATCAAAAGAAAACCCAACTATGAAATTGACAAATAAATATATTTTTTCATCTCTAGAAAGCCAGATGTCATTTCTTTCTCTTGAATTTCTAATTTTATTCCTTCAAACTTTTCAAACCCTGCAAGGAATGTCGGACCTAATTTCTCATTTAAGGCCCTTCACTTACAATTTAGACCCTAGAACAATTTGTTCAACCCATTAGTCTCCTTTTCACTCTTCCCAATTTCCTTTTGCAAAGATCTATTTATTTTTATGTTTACTTATAAACATAATAATCTACTGAAATATAGTTTTTCTCTGCTTTTCCTGGGCATCTAATTTGTGCCTACAGAAAGCCTTTGTTTTTAAATGAAGAAAAATTACTTACAAAATTTTTAATCCAATGTATGCTTTCTATATTAGTGACATGTGTGCTCTAAGCTCCACTCCTCTCTGCCACAAAAAACAATTGCAGCAGACTTAACGTAATACAGAGCAAACACCTTACTTTCCATACTAATAATTACTATTTTTGCAGTTATAGTAATGACTAATACCTTTAGTAAACTGACACCTAGAAATCCAGAAGGAGGTAAAAAAGAAGGCAAAAGCCACTAATATCTTGCTATTGAGGTTATGTTACTAAAAGGTTCCCTTATCTTTTGAGGTTATGTTACTAGAAGGCTCCTTTATTTTTTGATTATAAGCTAATGAGACAACTTAATCAACTGAAGGAAAATACTATACTCAAGAAATAAATTATATAAATGAATGTATCTGGGGGAAAAGATGTACTTCAAGTACAAGGCTGAATCTCTTTATTTTACTTTTATGCTATCCTTCAGAAATAAAGGCTGAATCTCTTTAAAGTATCAAAATGTTTACATATCTCAAAACAGTTAAGGGCCCAAAAAACATAAAACCACAATTTGGCCTCCACAACTCTCTACAAAGTAGGAAGTGGTCAATTTACAAAGGCTATCAAAGAAAAAGAAAGGACAAAAGGGTGGCAAAGGTAATGCATTTAAAAACACAACACAACAAAACAAAAAGACAACATACCTGGCAACATGAGAAAAAGCATCCACAAGGACAGATTCAAATTCTCTAGTGAATTCAGGTCCTTTCCTTTTACTGTTTTGGATGACATCATTTGCTAAGTACAGAAAAGTAAGCTTTCTATTTGATTTGGCTGAAAAACAAAAAAGAGGAAAATTTAACTTACACCAAAGAAATTCTCAATTCACAATTCTTTTGCCCTAGGATACTGCTAAAGAACACTAAGACAAGCATTATCTACTTAAGGTCCAGTAGATATGTTTACAAAGACAGCTAAGAAACAGGTTTGGGAATACAATTTAAAAAAAGAAAAAAAAGAATGGGCCATCTTCATTTCTGTGTTATTTTAACCAGGGTAATTGACAGTAAAAATGAACATAATCTAAAGAAAATTTCCAAAGGATAAGCAGTCAATATTAATGTTAAAACCAAGGTTTTCCTGTATTTATTGCAAAGATGAGCATTTCTAACTCACTCTTAATTATCAAATATTCCAGAATGAAAGACTGAGTTAGGTCTGAATTTTAAAATAGTTTCTTGTAATTTATGCTCCTAAACTGAGAATTTCTCTTTGACACTCCAATAACCACAGTCAATGGTATCAATTCTACAATATAGAGGAATCTCTAGATGCACCAATGGATATTTACCTCAAATATAAATACACATTAACACTGTATTATTATTGAAAATTTACACATGTCTGAAATCTGGATATGCAAAATTATGGCTCCCACAAAAACCATATTTTTTTCTCTCTTATTTATACAAAATGTAGTAGTTGCTATTACTCTATATGGTATCATATATTAAACCATAAAAACCTCATGCAATATGTCTGAGTTACAGTTGCTTGGGGGAACATTACTGAATTTCCTGGCTTCTATGCACATAACTTCTCAACCATAAAGTTACATCACTACGATTTTGGGTCCCAGTTTTCTTTTAAAAGACATAAATAAAAACATAATTAGATATTTCAAAACACTAAATTTTCTCCAGTGCTTAAAGCACCTGAAAAACTCAAGCAAGTTAGATGTCAACCTTTACATACCTGAGTAACTAACTAGTCCTTGTTCTATTTGTCTCAGAAACCACTTTTTTGTTTCTTTTGAAATGTACAAAGCACATACAGGGTCTGACACAGCAGGCATAAGATCTGACATTTTAAAATGTAGCTACAGGAGAACAACCCAAGTTAAAAACAAGATGTTTAAAGCACATTACAGTTTAAGCTGATGTCTTAAAATGCTCACAAAATTAAATATAAGTATCTTGAATTGTCTTAATCTTCTGGCAATAACCTAGTTTAGATGCCCAACTGATGAGAATATTGGGAACCTGTGGCTATCTTTAACTGTTCTAACTATTACTCAAAAGCAGAACAAAAGTGTTAATAGCCACAATATCCTACTGTTGCTACAAAGGTATGATTATGGCAAAAGGCTTTAAAAAAAAAAAAAAAACCCTGCTCTGGGAAGTTGCAGTAAGTAAAACTACCACAACTATAATGCCACGAAAATTAAAGATATCTAAGAGGCCTCAGAGCCAAGGTTTTCACTATCTACAACATCAATTAATTTCCATCACCCTCAGACTTAACAACAGGCATTTATTTGGGATAAAATTGTATCCCTCCACATCCAGCGTCCTCAAAAGTTGACATAAGTACCATGTGTGTAAAGGTGATATAACAAAACCCTAGAGCACTTGAGAATACAGTCATATTACATACCGTACATACTCACCCCTCCACTCCAACCCTGGGTGACAACTCACTTGTTCAGATGTCTTTCCAATATGACAAAATAGATCCTTTCACTCCCTACCTGTGCCGATTCCCAAACAGTCAAACTAATTGTTAAGCAAAGTTTAAATAACTGGCTAATGAAAAATTTTCACTTATTTGGCAGGTTTTGATGTCTAGAGAAAGTCTTAAAGTAATTTTGAAAAAAAGGCCTATTTACCTACATTCAGGCCAAGATACAAAACATTACAAAATATTCAACCAAGAGCATTTTACCCCAAACTATTCCATAAAGAAGGGGAGAAGTTCTACTTATTACAGAAAACAAAGGGAAAAATTAAGAATTATTTCTAGAAAATGGAAAGATAACATATCAGGAGTACAATATTTAAGCAAGAAAAAGCAATTTTTGTAAATCTTGTTAATATTTTGAAGGCAACTCAGAGAAACTACAAGCATCTTAAATAGGGAAAAAGACTTTACCACAGAGAGAACCTAAGGGGCTAGTCAATTTGAACATTAGGACACAAAATTCTTTTCCACTCTAGTGTGTGGGTACTTCCAATTCATGAGGGAAGTTTAGATATTAGGAAGCTGTGTCTTGATGCTTGGGAGGGCAGCATCTCCTAGCTCTGCACTGTCCCACATAGTAGCCACTAACCACATGTGGTTATTGAACACTTGAATTGTGGCTAGTAAAACTTGGAAACTTTATTTTCAATTGTATCTATCTAAAATTTTAGTTCCTTAGTCACATACTTTAAGTGCTCATTAGCCACATACGGCATGTGGCTACTTTGTTGAACAGCACAGATAGAAAACAGCTATTATCACACAAAGTTGTATCAGACTGTACTGTTTAGATCCTTTACTCAACCATGAAAATGGTTTCAGAGACCATGATTTAACTCTTAACTATTTTGAAACTGTGTAACAAGCACCATGATAAATGTTACAGAAAAACAAGAAGGTCCAGTTTCTCTCTCAAAACACAATCTATTAATAATAAAAAAGAGGGCCGGGCGCGGTGGCTCACGCCTGTAATCCTAGCACTCTGGGAGGCCGAGGCGGGTGGATCGCTCAAGGTCAGGAGTTCGAGACCAGCCTGAGCAAGAGCGAGACCCTGTCTCTACTAAAAAATAGAAAGAAATTATTTAGACAACTAAAAATCTATATAGAAAAAATTAGCCGGGCATGGTGGCGCATGCCTGTAGTCCCAGCTACTCGGGAGGCTGAGGCAGTAGGATTGCTCGAGCCCAGGAGTTTGAGGTTGCTGTGAGCTAGGCTGACGCCACGGCACTCTACTCCAGGCAACAGAGTGAGACTCTGTCTCAAAAAAAAAAAAAATAATAATAATAATAATAAAAAAGATACAACTCATATGAATGAAGTAAATGCTGAGTTGGTGTGATGGGGTGGGAGGGAATTCTAAGAAATGAAAGCACTACAGCTTTGGTTGGAGTCAGATGACCACTTTCACTTACCAAGTGCACCGAGTACTTGAAAAAGCACAAGTTTTGGCAACAGATAGCCCTGGGCTCATGCCCCCAGCTGTATGCCCCTGAACAAGGCACTTAATCTCTCTGTACCTTTATCTTCTCATCTGTAAAATGGGGATAATAATGCTGGCCTACTTACAACATAAGGCTCTATCATGAGATTAGGGATTATAAAGCTTCATAAACAAATGCACTCTCTAAATTGTTATTTTTCAATAACTCAAATAGGGTGAGGTGAGGAATCAAGAAAGCTTCACAAAAGAAGTGACATACGAGATGGACTTTGTCTTCAAGGTCCCACCCAATAGGATTCTGTAGAGTGGCGATTCACATGTTTTTCACATCTCAGCAGATGTTACAAATAATATTTGAATGGCACAGTAGGGTACATGAAGGAGGCTCTAGGAGCCCCAGGCTCAACCCTCCAGTTGCCCAGAGGGCTGAGAAGATTCCTATCTCAGTACAGCACATGATATTTTCGAGTCCTTGCTAGAGGGCTAGAACATGGTCTCCTGAAAGAACCCTGGATTTTGGTGTCTGTCAGCCTGTAGTCTGAGTATCAAGTTCAAAGGCCTTGAAAATACCACCTAGCCACTTCAGTTTCCTCATCTGTAAAACGGGGTGACACCCCTCACTTCACAAAGAGTAGAGCACCCATGCAAATTCACTTTCTAAGCTGTAAGGGGCCTACCACATATAGGGGGTCCAAAACAGCTCTGAGCTTCATTTCTCCAGCCATCTGTTAGGAAACTTGTCAGGGCACCAGGTAGGCGTGCAGCTGCCCATCGTTCCCCACCAGACTGTAAGCCACTTAAAGGCAAAGGCCATGCCTTACATTGAGTAATCAACAGTCCCATCTCACTGTGATTTATGGAGTGCCTACACTGTGCCCAACATCACGAATGTTCATTTGGATTATACTGTTTATTCCTCACCACAACAAGTTATTTGAGCCTCACTTTTTCCTCATCTGCAAAGTTCCAACTTCACAGGGCTCTGAGAATTTTTTTTAAAATGACAATGTATATAAAGATATTGACACTGCTCCTAACATAATAAAGGCACAGTAAATATCAGTTATCATCATGTCCATTTTATAGATAAGGAAACTAAAGGACAGACAGGTTAAGTCGCTGGGGTCAGTAAGTGTCAAAGTCAGGCTTAAATTCCAGGCAGTTGGCAGAAGCACCATGCTATTAAGTGTCCAACCCAGTACCTGGCACATAATAGACCGAGCTCAATGAATGTCTGTCAGATCCTGAACAAGGCCTGAAATCAACAGCAGCTGCATGAGAGGCGCCTGAAAGGCAAGGTCTCGGTGGTGGGCCCCTTTAGCTCTCTAAGATGGGTTGTTCTGAACACTGAGTGCAAGAACATATACAAAGGTCTTAGTATAGTGACTGGTATGGAGTAAAGGCTTCGTTAAGGGTAGCTATCCTTGTCTCCGTTTTACAGATGGAAAAACAGGCTTAGGGAGATGAAGAAACTCGTGGAGCATCACTCAGCCAGTAAATCGCTGAGTGGGGACTCCCATCTAGGCAGTCTGACTTCAGAGCCCACTAGCTCTTACTCCAAATGCCCAGCACAGGGTCTGACACATAACAGGCTAGGTTATGTGTCCTGTTCACAGGAGCTGAATGCAACCGGGATAGTAACAGTCCCAAGTGTCAAGGGGAGCCTGTGGGGAAAATGGCTCAATGAACTGGAAATCTGGGCACCTGAGCCCCAGTCCGTGGAATCTCAGCCAAGTACCTTAAACCTTCCCAGGCCTGGGTTTTCTTCTTTGAGAAATGGGGATAACATTGTCTCCAATCTCAAAAGCACGATCAGAGGCCCAAGCCTGGAAAGCAAGGCTCAATTAAGAAGCTAGAGGGGCTTGGGGAGTGGGGTGGGCAAAAAGACAACCCGGGGAAGGCCCAGGGGGTGGGGAGGTGTTTACCTTTGCGGAGTTCGCGGTGCCATACGGAGACTATTGGTCCCGCGTGCTTGCGGTGGTGGATGAGCCACAGGGATAGGGTCTGCACGCTCTGCTGAGAGTTGCTTAGCTCCGAGAGCTTCTTCTCCAGCGCCGATTCGGAGAAGGAAGACATGGTGGTGGCGGTGAGGCCCAGCAGGGAGCGGCCTGGGCCGCCCAGTGCGGCGGGAAGAGCGACGGCACGAGGCCGGGGCTTCACTTGACAGACTGCGGGACTCTTTACCGACTGACAGACGGCCAGGGGTGCAAGAGGGGGAGGGGATGGGTCTCCGCAGTAACAGTCGCCCGCGCCGCCGCCACAAGATGGCCACCCGACCTCTCACCCCGCCGCGAGAACGGGGTCAAAGGGCAAGGGCCGGAGTAGCGGGGCACAGAGAAGCGTCGGAGCTGCAGAAAGACGTTCCTTTGGAGGTGGCGGCCTCTCTGAACCTCACTCAGGGCACTTTGAAAAAGACAGACCGAGGGAAGGAGCACAGTTCCCTGGCCCCCAGAAGGCGCTTTGACCGCTCGTGCCTGCGCGCCGGCGCAGTGGATCTCGCCGGAACCCTTTCTCTCGCTCCCGCAGAACCTTTCTGGCGCGGTACGGCGCGCTACTTAGCGCGTCATTTCCGGCGGGGCGGAGGAGGCGGGAGAGTGAGGGAAAGGCTGGAAAACGAGGTAAGGGAAGAGTGGCGGGCAGAAGAGGGAGCCGTGCCCCTGGGATCCCTTAGAGGGGAATCTTAAGGGGACACTGAAGCTGAGAGAGCATGACCTGGGTATGGGAGGGGCCTTCCTTCCTTACTTGCGAGGCGCCAGGCCGCACTTTTTCTCCATACGTGTTCTGCTCTCTGATTGCCCCCCCCCAAGCTCGTTATTGGTTCTTCCAAGCCACCCACGTGGGTTTTTCACGCCTCCAGGCCTTCACGCCTTGGCTCTTATTCTCTCTCTCCAAAGGTAATGTCCCCTTTCTCACCTGGTGAGCTTCTGCTCAGCCTCCAGGACCACCCTTTAATGTACAGTTTAGTTTGTAACAGCGCCGCCATGAAACACACATTTGTGCTCTGGGCTCTAAGGTGGTTTCTTCATTCAGGGTATTACTTGCTGCCCTAGCCCTCTGGGAGTCCAGTTTACTGTTTCTCAAATTTAAGTGACAGGTTAACTTTTGGGGGTGGGGGTGAAACAGAGAAACTATCTTATCCTCCCAGTGCGTTCATTGATCTCGTTTTAAAGAAACACTATTTCAGTGTTTGTCAAGTGTTTAAGAAACACTGAAGAGACTCTAAATCCTGACCTTATTTTTCCAAAGTTTTAAATCCCAGTTATCAAATCAGAGAAATTTTGTCTTTCTAACTGCCACAGAGGTGGTGGTAGGGGGTTAGATTATCATACACAACAATTTTTAAATTTTCTGATCATCATAGAACTTCTAGTTGTGGACAGACCTTAGTTTAGGAGACATTCTTCTAGTTGATGCCTGCTTTTGCTTTGACTGCACTGTATTGTGATTCTTTGCTTAGATGCTTTTACCCTTTCTCCAGACTAGAATCATCGTAATCATAGCTAACATACTGAGTGGTTGCTATGTGCCAGGTACTGTTTTCACATAGTAACTCATTTAATCCTCACAATAAAGCTATGAGATAGGCATTATATTATCCTCATTTGACAAATGAGGAAACAGGCTCAGAAAGGTTAAGTGACCTACCCAAGATGACATTACTGAGATTTGAGGGAAAGGACTACATCTTAGCCATCTTTTTGACCTTAGGTTAACAGAGGTGAATAGCCTAGAATCACATAGCCAATATCTGGTCATAATTGTAACTGAGGGCTTTTGAGCCCAAATCTAGACCATCTTTTCATACTGCGTAATACTGTAATGTACTGAGCACTCTTATACCAAGTCACTGTATTAAGCACATTACATACATTCTTTTATTTAATCCTTACATCAGTCCTATGGGGTGAAGATTGTTATCACTCTTTGATAAATGAAGAAATATAAAACTTGGGTAACTAACCTATCCAAGGTTAATTGGACATACATAGGAAATGACAGAGTCAGGAGTCAAATCAAGATTATCTTATGTCTGATACCAAATCCTTCATTCTTGCACCAGTGGTTCATGCGTTCATTCAGCAAATAATTTTTGAGCTCCTGTGTCTGAAGCACTATTCTAGGCAAACAGGCAAAATCCATGTCCTTGGAAGTTTGCCTTCTACTGGGAAAGATAGAAAGACAAACATGCAAGTATAAAATGAGTCAGAAAGTGATAAGTGCCTTAAATAAAAATCAGGAAGGGTAAGGGGGATGAGGAATGTATATGTGTGGACAGATAGGCGTCTATTATGTATGGTGGTCAAAGAAGTCCTCACTGATAAGGTAACATTTGATCAGAGCCCTGAAAGAAATGAGTAAACAAGCCATATGCTGTTGTTCCAGAAAAAGGGAAAACCAAGTCGAGGTGATTGTTGGCCCTTTGGAGGAACAGCAAGGAGGACAGTAAGACTAGAGTGATATGAGTCAGAAGCGTGGTTGGAAATGAGCTCAGAAAAGTAGCAAGGAACCACATCACAGGGGGACTTATAGACAACAGTAAAGACTTTGGATGTTACTCTGAATGAAATGAGGTCCATTGGACAGTTTTGAGCAAAGAAGGAACATTGAAGCTGTTAGGTAGAAAATAGCAAAGGTACAAGGGTAGAAGCAGGAAGACCAGTTTGGCAACTGTTAAAATCCAGGTGAAAGCATGACTCAGACCAGGGTTATATCAGTGGTTGTGTTGAGAGAGGGACAGAACCTGGGGATATTTTAGAGGAAGAGATAACAGGATTTGCTGACAGATTGGATATGGGGTATGAAAGAAAGACAAGAGTTTAGGTGGCTCCAGGGTTTTTGGCCTAATCAACCATAAGAATGGAGTTACCATTTCCTGAATTGCAGAAAGGAGATTTGGGGAGTAAGAGCATGTGTTTGGATTTGGACATGTCTGATTTGAAATGCCTATTCGAGTATAGATATCCAATAGACAATTGGGCTTATGGGTACAGAGTTCAAGAGAGAGATCTGGGCTAGAGATAGAAATGTAGGATTCATAAGGGGGACTAGGTATAAAAAGAAACTGTGTCCTAGGACACTTCAACATTTAGAGATCTGAAAGATAAGGATAATAGGATTATGTGATTTTTCTTCTTAAGCTTATTAAGCTTACTAATATTAATTACATAGATTGATTTTCAAATATTGAGCCAGCCTTGCCTCCAATAAACCCACTTCGTCATGGTATATAATTTTTTTTACATACTGCTGAATTATATTTCTTAATATGTTTAGGATTTTGCATCTATACTCATAAAAGAAATTGATCTGTAGATTTTTAAATTTTTGTATTGCGGGATTGGTGTTAATTCTATTTTAAATGCTTGGTAGAATTCACCAATGAAACCATCTTGGCCTGGAGATTGCCTCCCTGCCTGCCTGCCTGCCTGCCTGCTTCCCTCCCTCCCTCCCTTCCTTCCTTCCTTCCTTTTTTATGCAGTTTTTAAATGACAAATTCAGTTTCCTTAAAAGCTATAAGGCTGTTCAAATAATCTGTTTCATATTATGTGAGTTGTGGTAGTTTGTGTTTTGTGAGGAATTAACCATTTTGTCTAATTTGTCACATTTATATGTATGAAGTTATTTGTGATATTCCCTTAGTTTGTTTTTTGTTGCTTATAACAGAATACCTGAAACTGGGTTATTTATAAAGAAAAGGAATTTATTTCTTACAGTTATGGAAGCCAAGAAACTCCAAGTCTAGGGGCTGCATGTGATAAGAGCCTTCTTGCTGGTGGAGACATCAGAGTCCCAAGACAGCACAGGATGGCACATGGCAAGTGGGCCAAGTCTGCTAGCTCAGGTCTCTCTTCATGGGAGCAGATCCCTCATGACCCAATCACCTCTTAAACGCCCCACCTCACAATGCATTGGGGATTAAATTTCAACATGAGTTTTAAAGGGGACAGATATTCAAACTATAGCATTCCTGTATTATGCTTTTGATGTCTGCAGAGTCTATAGTATAATCCAATTCAATAAGAAAAAAAGAAAATTAAGGCCCCCCCCATCATCAGTCTTGCTAGAAGTTTATCAATTGTATTGATCTTTTCAAAGAACCAATTCTTTGTTTCATTGACTTTCTATTGCTTTCTGTTTTCGATTTCATCAATTTCTACTTTGATCTGTATTATTCCCTTCTTTCTGCTTGCTTTGGGTTTATCTTGCTCTTCTTTTTCTAGGTTCTTGTGGTGGGAATTTAGATTTTTGATTTGAAACCATTCCCCTTTTCTGATAAAAGATTTAGGACTATAAATTTAACATCTCAGCATGGCTATAGCTGTATCCACAGATTTTGATATGTTGTTATTTTCATTTTCATTGATTTCCATGTTTTTTTAAAATTTCCCTTGTGGTTTCCTCTTTGTTCTGTGGATTATTTAGAAATGTGTTGTTTGGTTTTCAGGTGTTTGGAGATTTTTCTGTTTTCTCTCTGTGATTTCAAGCTTGATTTCATTGTGGCTGGGGAATACACTCTATATGATTTCGGCTCTTTTACATTTGTTGAGGTTTGTTTTATGGCAGGGTATGGTCTATCTTGTTATATGTTCTTTGGGCACTTGAATGTGTATTTGCTGTTGTGGCGTGGAGTGTTCTGTAAATGTCATAGATCTTGTTGGTTGACGGCAGTATTGAGTTTTCCCATATCCTTACTGATTTTGTGTCTGCTTATTCTGTCCATTGTTGAGAGAGAAATGTTGAAGTCACCACCTATACTGGTGGATTTGTCTACTTTTCCTTTCAGTTTTATCCATTTTTGTTTCACACATTTTTATAGCTGTTTTATGCATATATATTTAGGATTGCTATTTCTTCTTAGATTTACCCTTAAAATGTTGTACTCTGTCTCTGGTAATTTTCTTTACTATTAGAGTATTTAGACCTTTTACATCTAATATAATTAAGTTGGCCCTCTGTATTTATGGGTTTTGCATCCATGGATTTAACCAACCATGAGTTGAAAATACAATTGACCCTTGAACAATACAGGTTTGAACTGTGCAGGTCCACTTATACTCAGATTTTCTTCTGCCTCTGCCACCCCTGGGACAGCAAGACCAAGCCCTCATCTTCTTCCTCTTCAGCCAACTCAAGGTGAGGACAAGGATGAACACCTTTATGGTGATCCACTTCCACTTATTGAATAGTAAATACATTTTCTCCTCTTCTGATTCTCTTAATAACATTTTCCTTTCTCTAGCTTACTGTATTGTAAGAATACGTGCATATACAAAATAGGAGTTAATTGACTGTTTACGTTATCAGTAAGGCTTCCAGTTGACAGTAGGCTATTTAATAGTTAAGTTTTGCGAGAGTCAAAAGTTACAGCGGATTTTTGACTGCTCAGGGGGTTGGCACCCCTAACCCTCACATTGTTCAAGGGTCAACTGTATTTGAAAAAATAACAATACAACGATAAAAAAATATAATTTAAAAGATAACATATAATAGTATAAGAAC